TCCCGCACAACAGTCCAACGCACTATCCATTGGGCTATCTGGGCGGCGGTTGAACTGGCATCCGAATCAAGGTACAACACCACCTTCAGCACACACATGGGCCTCATGAGGTAGAAACGTCTCAACTTTGGTATTTCAAGTGTCGCTGAGATTTTTCAAAACGTAATCCGCAAGACGCTTGAGGACATTGACGGCGCAATTAACATCAGTGACGACATACTAGTGTTTGGAAAGACGCTCGAAGAACACGACCAGAGCTTGAAGGCTGTGTTCCAGAGACTTAGAGAGAAAACACAAGTTGGAATTATTTGGATACGTGTTCTCCAAAGATGGGATCTCGCCGGACCCGAAGAAAGTTGCAGATGTCGTAAATCTTCAGACACCGTCAACAGCATCAGAAGTTCGCAGCCTTCTGGGGATGACAAACTACTGTTCAAGATTCATCCATGACTACGCTACCAAGACAGAGCCCCCGCGCAAACTCACCCTCAAGGGCTAATCGTAGCGTTGGACGGAAGAACACGACCATACGGTCAGCCAATTAAAAGAAGCGTTTGTAAGCGCCCCCGTTACTGCCTACTTTGATCCAGAGAAGAATACGGAGATATCTGTCGACGCAAGTCCAGTTGGCTTGGCAGCCATCCTCTCTCAAGTTGACCCGAAAACTGGGGACAGTCATGTCATCACCTACGCAAGTTGCTCTCTTACAGCAACCGAACAGCGGTACAGCCAAACAGGGCGCGAAGCCCTCGCTGTAGTTTGGGCTTGTGAACGTTTACACCTGTACATCTACGGGAAGCCGGTCACAGTCTACACTGACCACAAGCCCCTAGTGTCTATCTACGGAAATCCGAGTCTCAAGCTACCTGCGAGAATCGAGAGATGGCCTCTACGACTTCAGCCATACCAGATCACAGTCAAGTATCGAAGAGGAGAAGTTAATCTCGCAGACTACCTATCGCGTCACCCAGCAAAGCATGAGGCTGAAACGAGCCGGCAACAGAAAGTCGCAGAGGAGTACGTCAGCTACCTCGCAACCTCCTCTACTTCCAAAGCCTTGAAGACACAAGAAATAGAGACAGCCACTCAGGATGATGCAACTTTGCAAGCTGTAGCAGAAGTCATTGTGAAGGGCAGTTGGCACTGTGAAATCAAGCGTCCCTGCGTTGATGCTGTTGAGTTTCGCCCTCTTGAGAGGGTGAAGGATGAGCTTACCGTAAGCTCATCTGGCAACCTTATTCTAGGTGGAACCCGCATAGTCGTCCCGAAGAGTCTACAAGACCACGTGATCAACCTCGCACATGAAGGCCACCAATGGCTCGTGAAGACCAAATCACTGTTACGAGAGAGAGTTTGGTTCCCGCATATTGATAAGCTGGTTGAAAGCAAGGTGAAGTCTTGCGAGGCCTCCATGATTGCTACTCCTGAATGTAAAAGAGAGCCCTTACAGACGTCACCACTCCCGGCAGCGCCATGGAAAAAACTTAGTCTTGACTTTGCTGAGATCCCAAACAAAGAGTATCTCCCTCTGATTACTGACGACTACTCCACGTACCCAGTGGTAGAAATTGTGAAATCAACCGCCGCAACGACGGTCATACCAAAGCTCGACAAAGTATTCTCAGAGTTTGGAATCCCTGATTTAGTGAAATCTGATAATGGGTCCTCGTTCAACGGTAGGGAGTTTACATCATTCGCAGATGACCTTGGCTTTAAGCATCGGAAGGTGACTCCAAAGTGGGCACGGGCAAACAGTGAAGTAGAAAGGCTGATAGTTTCGAAAGAAACTGTTTGGGGCTGCGTCGGTGGGAGTAACGAAATAATTTGGATGTATCAACAAAGTTGAAATGGTAAATTGGCCACCGTAACGATTACAAAAGCTGACGTTTCGAGCGTTAGCTCTTCGTCGGAGCGAATAGAGGAATTGTGGGTTGTGTGTGCTTTTAAAGGCAGAAAATGGAGCTACGTTATTGGTG